ACGGCGAAGAGGAGGAGGGGAGAGGAGAAATTCCCAAGAAGTGTGTTGCCTCCTCCCCACTCCCCTTCAGGTAATGGGACTCATTGGGTCAAGTCACAGAGCCTTAAAGAGTCCAAACCTGTAAGGATTTTTATGAGTTTATTTGATACAAACTGATGACAATCATCTGGAATCAAAATCTATGGATTGAGAAAATGCTCTGGAGAATGGCAGTTTTGCCCTTTGTTTTGTACATTACAATCAGGAAAGACGTAAGTGGGTCACATGAACTCCACTGGTGATGGATTAGGGAGGCGGGAGAAAGCAAAGGGGGAGCCTCTGGGATTGGATGAAAGGTAAAATGAAGCCCGGCCAGCGTGGCTCAGTGGTTGAGTATCGACCTATGAACCAGGAGGTCACGGTTCGATTCCCAGTCAGGGCACAGGCCTGGATTTCGGGCTCCATCCCCACTGGGGGGCGTGTAGGAGGCAGCTGGTCAATGGTTCTCTCTCATCATTGATGTTTCTATCTCTCCCTTTCCCTCTCTGAAGTCAATAATATATATATATATTTAAAACAAATAAAGTAAAATGAATAGACACAGAAAATGACAAATAGACAAAAAAGGAATAGATGTTTGTGGGTACAGGATAGTTAACAGTTAACAATTAACATGGTAACAGTAACAATGAGAGGCGCTGTGGTCTGCTCTGGTGGGAGTTGTGCCCTGAGGGGTCTGGAGAAGGGGTCACTCCAAAGGCGGTACTTGTGGTGGATGCAAAAAGACAATAGACAGGCTCAGGTACGGGTTGGCCTTTGTGGAGGAAGATGCAGGCGAGGACATGACTCCCCACTTTAGTTGGGAAACTGTAATAGCAGGCCATCCTGTGTGGTTACTGCAGGGCTCTGGGTTTATAAGGCCGGCCTTGCAGGCCTCCCCGGAGCCTGTCAGTTTAGTATGTGGCCCCTTCTTTGCCCACAGATATAAGAGCGATTGTTTCCGTGAGCTTTGGGTTTAGCCACATTGCATTCTGAGAAGAGGACTTGGAGATGCCGAGGGAGACTGAGATGCCTCCCCTGGAGCCGGAGGTGCTTCTTTCAGATACAGAGAAGGAAAGCGGTTGCCAAAGGAGACATGGAGATGTTGAGGAAAGAACGCTGGGGAGTCTGCGTTTAAATTCTGCTGCTTCTGTGACTTGGCTATTTATCTTTTGGAGGCTCATCTGTAGAATGAAGCAAATTATAGTCATTCTTATCAGATAGGAGTGTCCTAAAGATTAGGGGAGAATACAGGTGCAGGGCCAGTTTGGCTCAGTTGGTTAAGTGTTGTCCCATACACTGAGAGGTCCGGATTCGATTCCTAGTCAGGGCAAATGCCCAGGTTGTGGGCTCAATCCCTAGTAGGGGACGTGCAGGAGGCAGCCAATGATGTTTCTCTCTCTCTCCCTCTCCCTTCCCCTTTCTCTAAAATCAAACATATTTTCCAAAAAAGCAGCAACTGTCTTTAGAAGAGGGACTAGCATTCAGCGGTGCGACCTGCCTCCCACTAGGCCAGGCTTTTTCAACCAACACTTAACGCTTCTCTCTGGGCAGGGTTGAGGGTGGCGTGGAAGAGGTGGAAGAGGTGGAAGAGGTAACTCCCTCCCTAGGGTTGTGCTACATCTATCTATGCCTCTGAAATGATTTCATTTCTCTTCTCAACAGTCTTCCGCTTCCACATCACAAGAAACTGCAACTACCCTGTATTCAGTGGTGCTGTCCGCAGGGAAGGTGAGTCCCCGCCTCCAGGGGTGCTTGGGTGCAGGGGTGTGTTTTGCATGCACAGTGCAGCTCGGGCTGGCACTTCTGAGTGACTTGACTTCCACTGCATGTATCCGAGTGACTTGTGTTAAATGACTGTTGAAAAGTGAATGGGCAAGTGCCTTTCTAGTTCTGTTTGGAGAAAAACAGCAGCTCTGAGTCTGGGAGAAGAATATATTAAAGGTGTTTCCAGAAGTTTCTGTGGAAGGTAGAGGACAATCAGAGAGAAGTGCTTGGTGCAGGAACCACAGGATCCTGGTAGGCCAGCCGAGGCTGTGGTGAGAGAAGGAGAGGTTTCCGATGCGGACTGAGCGGCAGGATTGCACGGGACCTAGAGAGACAGTGTTGACCTCAGGGAAGCAGACAAAGTTGGGCCAGTCACCTCATGGTAGAGGCCTGGGACTGAGGCAGCCCATCGAGTCCCCTCTAATCCTGATCCAGGGGGGCTCGCAGCCTGTATGTGTACCTGGACCACAGAGCTGGGTGTCCTGGGCCGTACCATCTTTTCATCTCAGGTGGGAGGGGACTCAGTGCAGATCATAAGCTGAACTTGGTGATGAGAAGCGGGGAGCCTGGTGGATGTGAAGGATGGCATTCAAGCAGGTCAGCGATTGTGTGTTTGTATCAAAACGGGGAGAAGGTTAGGACACATTTTCAGACTTTTAATCCACCCCCTTCCAATAAGTCATTCAATCAACTTGGATTTTAGCGAGAGAGATTGATATATTTTTAAAAAAATATATTTTATTGATTTTTTACAGAGAGGAAGGGAGAGGGATAGAGAGTTAGAAACATCAATGAGAGAGAAACATCGATCAGCTGCCTCCTGCACACTCCCCACTGGGGATTAAGCTGCAACCCGGGCATGTGCCCTTGGCCGGAATCGAACCTGGGACCCTTCAGTCCGCAGGCTGACGCTCTATCCACTGAGCCAAGCCGGCTAGGGCGAGAGAGATTGATATTTAAATTCCATGCTACACACATGGCTAGACATGGCCACAGCACCTGGCCGCAGGCTTCGGTTTTCTTTCTGAAGACTCTGCCGACTACTGAGAGCCCCTGAGCTCCGCTGGGTGAGTGTGTGTGCCACGCATTGAACAGATACATGGTGGAGGCCGTGTTTGTACTAGGTTTGTCTGAAGGCTCCGTGTGTGTGTGTGTGTGTGTGTGTGTGTGTGTGTGTGGTCTGAGGGGTGAGAGGTGCATGGCTGTGGATGTTAAACTGATTTTGGTTCAGAAATGTCATATCATAGGTAAGTATGTGTTAACACCTTCTGGAAACCAAAACCCCATTGTTTGCTCCTGGGGTAGGAGATTTCATTCACTTCTGGTTGGCGCCACTTCAAGGGCTCTCTGGGCACGGAGTCCCTTTTGGGACCTCTCACACCACTTCGGAGCGGGGCATTTCTTACCCTGAAGTTAAGATCTTTTACCCTCTGAATTTCAGGCTGGATCTAAGAAGAGGAGCCACAGCCCTTCCATCTATGAAGGGGTAAGATTCTGAATGGGCTTAGTGCCTGTAGCATATCTGGAAAGTTGTGCACTTGTGAAAACGTCATCCACAGAGTCTCAGATCTGTAGGGATTTTAGGCAGATTCTAATCCAAATCCTCATTTAGAGGTGAAGAAACTGAGGCCCAAGCAGAGTGAGGGTCTAACACAAGGTCATATCATGGGTTGGGATTTGACTCTTACTGGGGAGATTGAGTTTCAAATTAGGGCCATCTCCAGGCTAGTTCCCCAGCTGTGAACCCTACAATGGACACCTCTCC